AACGAAATTTCTTTTTATTTACACTTGTGTGTACAAAATGACAAATAACATGTGTCTAAGTCTATTGTTGCATCTATGTTCCTTTAGTTCAGATATTTCTATAGGAAATGAGGGCTCTAGTTTGAATTTATTGTGAATTTGCTCCAATGCAAACAGCATAAGTTATGCTTTTTTAAGATTTAAAACATACTTTTTTTAAAAGGCAGCAATCGTAAATAACAGCAAACTATAGACAATTAAATGCAATTCAAGAAAAACCCTTCAACATTTCCAAGGCTCTAGGACTGTTCTTGCCTTTCCAGTCTTTTACAGAATCTCCCATATATACGGAAGAGGTAAATAAAAGCCCTTTTTTCTAACAGTTCTGTGCAGGAAAATGGAGCAGAGCACAAAAAATAACATTTACACTACATATGTTTCTAATTCTGTGAATTCACAAACACTCAGATAATCATAAAACCTTTTAGATTATTAATTAATTATTTTAAGTATTTCATTGGTGAGAGATATTAAATTAGCAGACGTCATCTGACCTCTTTTGATCTGGACTAAACTTATATCCCCATACATTCCTTAATTTTGGTGGATGCAAATAAATTTCATTCTCGATATCATCAAAACAAAGGCCTCCGAAAGACTGCAGAGAATGCCCACAACAGACACCCCTTTATGAACCTAGAACATAACATGAAAATAAAAACACATAAAGCAATAAAACCTGGAATCTCAGTTGGTGATGAAAGCTGTATTCATAAGCTAGCATGTATATTGAAATATCAGAAATGTGTCACATTACTGATGCTGAATTCAATTATATTGTGATTTATACTAATATTAAAATATATTGAAATACGCCCTACAAAGCGTACGCCTCCAGTACTCACCCGTCCCTGTGTTGTGGTGCAGTTGAAGCCGAGATTTTGACCCTCAAAGCCACAGTCCATCGCCAGGCGGTGCAAGATCAGCGCTGTGTAAGGAGACGGCGACTGGGGGTCTTTCTGCTCACATAAACACAGACACCAAGATCTTCAAAATGCACAGAACGTCTAAAACCCAAAAGCCTGACAAACTCTCCTCCCAACCTGACTCTGGATGGTGCGCAGGTTAAGCAGATGGACGTCGCAGGGAAGGGCAGACTTGAGCGGAGCGAAGGTTTGAAGAGGAGGAACCCCGCGTCTTTTGGGCAGAACAGGAAGCGCCAGGACCTGGTGGTTGAGCAGGGCGCTGGTTGCGTGGCTGACGACAGACGGGAAGCTAGTTGTTGCGCTGTCCATCATCTGGAGGAGAGATGCAGGGATTTAAATGAGTGGGAAATAACAGTGTGCCCATCACGACATCAATGACTCACCTCTAGAGATGCCGCTGGGCTATTACATGAGCAACGAGCTGTAATCAGCCTGGCAGAAGAGGAGGAACGGTTCTAATTCTAGTCACGGCACACGCAGCACTAATCACACCTTTGTGATGTCACATTTCAAATTAAAGAGTATTAAGGTGTTTCAGGATGTGATGTACTGCAACGGGCGAGTGTAACTCATCCTTACAACCATCAGCAGGGTGATACTACTACAACCAAAGCTTTCAATCCTCCTCTAATGTGGATTCATTTACATGACAAATCATCTCATTACTTTTCTCGCCCGTTCTGTCATAACGATGTTTAACTACAGCTACGGGGTAGAAGGAGGGCGATTTCAGCTCAAGCTACAACTACAGGTACTGCTAAGAACCAGATTGAAAAAGCATCCTCGCTGTTGCCTTGGCAACATTACCTCGCCAACTCCACCACTTGGGATTTGAGAGAAGAAAGAGCGCAACAAGGACGAGAGTTTGGCAAAGAAGCCATCATGCTGAGGGTAATGGAGTGGAAAAAAAGCAAAGAGGGAAAACAAAATTAGCAAGTGAGGAGGAAAGCAAAAAGACAGATGGAGAGGTAATGAGTAGTTTGAGAAAAAAAAAAGAAAGCATAGAGAAAGGTTTTCTTCAGCGACAGAAAGGAGAAGTAATCTGTGGTAAATTAAACACCTTGCAGAGAGTCATTTAACAGTGATCCTCGTCTGATTAGATGGGATTTAACAGTAATTGTGCAGATTTAAAATGACTGGAATAGCAACCTTGTTATTTATGGATCTCCTCTCCAACAGCAAGCGAAAACGATTCACCGTCTTCTTGTTGTCTTTGAGACCCTGACCCAGGCCTCGATTATCATCCTGCATCAGTCTCCGATCCATAATCACTTCCAGCTGACCTGAGGGGAAGCCCAACAGAGACAACAGCTTCAAACATGAACTAAGAGGCATCAGTCGATAAGCACAAGCAATTTCAATGGCTCTTAATTTACAAACATTTCATTACGATCTTAAAGATGATAGAGAGATAGCTCAGTTTACAAGATCAGAGTATGAGCTCTTTTCTTCTTTGAGTACCTCTTGGGAAGAAGATAAGAGATGCCAATAGATGTATAGACATCAGAAAAAGAAAAAAAAATGCTACAAGCTTTTGGGACTTCCACTGAAAAGAAAAATAATAAATAAACATTGTATGGCTATAAATGAGCAACAGACCGCTCTCCAAGCTGGAGACACCGAGAGACTGAGCCGTGTGCAGCGTGAGGCGGTGATGACTGTCCTGGATGTACGCCTGGCTGGGCATCGGATAAAAGTTGGCTTGCAAGGGAAGCTTTTGGTAGAATCGACGGGGCTGGATCTAGAATAGGATGCAACAGAAGACATGAATCCTTTATTTTCTCACAGGAGGAAATGCAGGTGCATCAGCAGTAAGAAAGAGAAATGTTTAAAGTACAGGAAGAAAAATACTGTTACAGTTATTCAGAAGGCATAATGCCACTGACCTGGAAGCCATTGAGGTCTGTGTAGAAGACGTCTCCACTCTGGATGTTGGTGACCAGTCGCATGGCCAGCTCCTTATTGGTCTGATCCCTGATATCGACCAATGTAGTGATGTCTACAGACAAACCATCCACCCCTGCAAATACAGAGTGATAAAGCAGAACAAAACTAGTACCACAAATAAAGAAACAAGAAATATGAAATTCCTCTAATACTGCATCTCAAGAAGTTAGAATATCATCAAAACATGTATATAAATAATTTATGTAAATCTCATCGTATAGATTAAAAGGGGAATTTCGGGGTTTTTTTGTTTTTGTTTTTTTTACACTTTGGGCCCTTGATTTGATATTATTACATCATGTTCTACTTACCCATGGCGTCACACACACGCCGCTTTGTTTATAAAAATAGAAATACAAAAAATATAACCGTGGATGTTTGGGGGACAGTGCTTCACCTACATGTTATGAATGCTGGCGTACCATAAATGATCAATTATGAACAGTTAAGTTTGTGCCTTCAAGTCGACTGCCCATAGGAAGACGTTACCTGGATATAACCTAACGGAATATCTTCAGAAACAGCTCCAAATGACACAAAACTCATATGGGTGAGTAGAACATGATGTAATAACGTAAAATAAAGGGCCGAATGTAAAAAAAAAAAAAATTGCGTTCCCCTTTAACTACAAATGAGGATTATTTAATTTTTTGCTCATTAAGACAACTATGGCCTTGACATGACGTGTGCTGTGAATTGGCACTAAATAAATAAACTGAATTGAACTGAACTGAAATTGAATTAAATTTAGAAAATAATAATTTACAGGGAGATTTATCCTTTAAGGATAACAGACAAATGTTTGTCTGTGGCCACAGATGGCAAACAGACAGATTCTTTCAAGATAGACAAACCACACATTTTCATCACTTAAGAGACTAGAAGTTTGGAGCAAATGTGATGTCATATCACTGGAAAGTTGAAAATACATAGTGTACTTGGTTCAACTGGGATAAAGACAATGTTAAAAAGATTGTGATATTTAAAAAAAAACAAACAAAAAAACATTCAAGAGTTTAAGGATATAACATGATTGGATAAAAGCCCCTTTGATGTTAAGGGTTTTGTCAGGAAAACTAAGGGACACACCAAACCCACTAGTGTAGGTGAGCTTAAGGTCACCATAAAAGCCACACTGCTGGTACAGACTGTATAACTGGGGTGTTCATTAGCTGATAGGCAGCATCATTAAAATAAACATAAAAAAGTAAGGCACCTTTATTTACTGAGCACATTTCAGCAGCAGGATAATTTAAAAAGTTACCTTATTAAAATTGGTAATAATGACTCCAGTTAATGGATGGAAAACAATGAATGCTTTTATTATTATTTTTTTTTTATTATTTTTTTTTTTAAACAAACACTCCAGTTTACTTTGGGCTAGCTAGTTTAAAATGAGCCGAAGGAAAACAAAACAAAACAGAAAAAGAATATTCTGAGCTGCATTTCAAATGCCAGATTCTGTGCGTATTACCTGGCACGTTGTGTATGCGGACGGTCTGCTCAAAGTGCTGGTACTGTGCCACCACTTCAGAGAAAAGAGGCCCTTCCACAACACGCACTGCAGGGGGCTCTTTCTGGTTGTAGGGCTGAAAACAGAGAGCAGTCAGACAAGATGCGCTAAAAATGAAACACAACAGGCAGCAAAACGGAGTTCAGATCTCAACCTTTAACGTTTGTTCCTTAAATCTAGTCTGCCTGTATTCCTGCCCTGAGCTTCCCAGCAGGATAAAATGAGATGATACCCATGGGGGACTCTCATCAAAGCCTTTTGAGAGGAACGCTAACATGTGAGATGCAACCAAGAGAGTACCTTTGCTTTTCCATCTGGCAGGAAGAGGTAAGCTCCACTTTTGTCTTTTGACAGACGTGTGCCGTAGATTATGAACTGCATCTGAACCTTAACCTCCTCTGGATCATCTTTACGCTTGATGCTCTTCAGATGAAAAAGGAACACAAATCAGGAAAAAGCAAAAAAGAAGACAGAAGATGAGATGCATTTTAGCAACAAGGCAAGTCCCTTTGATTTGGCTGCTCTAGTGTATTTACAAACCAAATTTGTGGCTATTTTTCCCCCAAATCAGAAAATAAAGTAAAGGTCATTAAATATTTGATATAGATTCAAAATCAAGTCAGCAGAAAAAAACAAATGAATAAACACAAACCTCCAGAAGGCCAGTGATTCCAGAGAAACCCAGAGTCAGAGTCTGAGTACTAATATAAAAGGTCTGAGAGTCAGCCGGCTGAGAGCGGACAGGAAGAGGGTCCAAAGCCCGAGCAGAGACGCCACGTCCCGACAGCCTCAGCAGGGTGTCAGAGCGAATCGTCATGGGCGAGTCAGCCGAGTCATAAAGGTGGAAAACAGCCAAACCGAGGGGTGGAAGACGAACCATGAATGTTGCCTGGGAAGGATGAAGAAAGATTTTAACATTTTCAATATATAAACTTGCTGACTGTCAATCATGAGGCTCTAATAAGGAATTTTTTTATACCCGTTAATTTGCAACAAACTGGTTCATTTCCCCTTTAGTGTCGACGAGGACATGATAATGGCACTAGCACAGCTCTAACCAAACTCTGGAGCAGTTTGCTTACGGTGCGAAAGAGATCACACCTCATTAACGCAGCTACTGGGTAAATGCTAGCCTGGGTGCCATTACGAACTTAGTCCCGCCCACAACGTTTGAGGTCGGGAAGTTTGGTCTGGCATTGCTCAGTAGTAGCGCGAGTATGCTCGCACAATATCTGGCGGGCCAATCAAATTGTCAGGGCGGGTTTATACGATGATGGACAGATCAACCACGTGACCAAAGCGTGCATGGGTGACAACAACAATGGCTGCCGCCGGAGAGTTGAGGTGAGTAGATTCTGCTATTAGGTCTGTTCTAGAAGATATCGACATTAAATTAATTTTAAAAGAGGAACAGAGAAACGCGATCAAGGCTCATCTTCTTATTCTAGGCGTGCAACTGCACGCTTTGATTTTTGTTAACAACAACTGCGCCTGGCTTAACATACGTCACGCACTCCGTTGCTCTTATTGGTTGTAGGTCTATCCAATTGAGTGCAGAGGCATTTTTTTTTCCTGGTTCGTTCGAAACACGCCCCATAATCACAGCTCTATGGAGCAGTATCAGACTCATATTCTGACTAGAATTGAGTCGGACTACGTCAGGCTAGGTAAATGCTGCCAGTTCGGTAAAACACCTTCTCGTAGCTAAGTCTGTGTTGCATTGTGGGATTCTCTAGAGTAAACAAACTAATAAAGAAAGTCTCCATGTCTTTTTTTTAAAGTCTGATGCAACTTTAAATTCATCTTCTCAAAATAATAATTATACTTCTCAGAAATTCTTACCTAAAATAGTACCCAGAGAAAAATTATAGACTGAAACTGTGTGGTTTTTTTTTTTTGCTTCACTCAAACAGCATCTGCTTTCTGCATTTTACTGTTAGTAATCATGTCCCTGACAAACTGACCAATGAAAAGACCCTTTGTACTTAGCAACAGGCTAACACCTTCTCAATCTTCTAAGCTTCTCAAAAATCACACATCAATATATTCCAGACATTTTTCTAATATTCTTACTGTTTGAACAGAAAACATGAATCTTGAAAACAAGCAATGAGCTTTTATTTTCTGTAGTTTCATGACTTGTACATATAAAATACTGACATAAACTCTGGATTTAGTTATGTGGTAGGTAGGAACTCTAGGCCTGGTTTGGATTCTTTGCAATATAAAATCATTTAGACTGGTTCAAACTACAAAATAATTTTTACTTAGAATTAGGCTTTCACATCCCCAGCTTACAAGGTGCTCAGTTTGATATTAGCACTCAAGAAATAGAGCCTCTATCAAAAGCTTAAATAAAAAAAAAAGTCAACTTTCTAGTGCATAAAACACTAAACTTCAATAGTGACGACAGGCCTAAAGAATTCACTTCCAATAATTTTATCACTATTAATTTCTTTACAGTCCAATCTTTGCAAACAAACAATCTTTGTTTAACATACCTACAAACATGTAGGTATGTTAAACAGCACCACAAGTTTCAGGGTTAAAGTATTTTTTTGATTAGTCAAAAAAGACCAACATATCGCCGATCCGTCGCCAGCCGACAGAACAGGGGAAATTACTGTTTTTTTCAGTAGGTGGAGGCAGACTCGTGTGGAGCAGCAGCCAATCAAAAGGATTATGGTTTTTTAAAAACTGTGGAGTTTAGTTTATGATTATTTCAATCTAAAATAAACACAAAAGGAAAAAAAAGTACAGTCAAATGTCAGATCAACACCAGAACAACAGAAACTGACAGCCTCTTTATCTTCCAGCAGTTTATGCTCACAGCTACACCCGCAGCTCAGTCAGTCCCTTAAAACCTTAATGTGATCTTAATAGATCTTCTACTGAAAGTTTTGTTTCCAGTGTTGTTGGAGCAGCTCATTAGGATGGAAAACCTTTACAACCAGTATTCAAACAGCTTTAATGACGGGGAGTCTGTTTGTAGCAACACTGGGATGAAAGTTATAACTTTTTTTTTTTAGTTAAACTTTTCCCATGCTCCATGTTCCTACAGAACACCACAGAATGAAAGTGGGAGAGAATAACTTCAACCAGATGAGACATTTATCACAATGTTAAGTTCAGAATCAGAAAGGTAAACCAGTCTTTTTATAAACAAGATTAAGCAGTTGAAGAAGGATTCTGTACAACCTCTACGGAAATATAAAAGTGACAAATCCCTTTTTTCCTCTAACCTTGTCAACTTTTTAAGGAAAACAGATGCTTTTAGACTGAAAAAAAAAATACATTTATTTAAAAAAGTTTGAGTTTTACTTACCACGAGTGCCGAGAATTGCTGTCAGCAGATGTAAAAGTGAAAGCTCTAACTTTAAGGCAAATGTCTTGATGACTGTAAATCAAAAATATTTTAATTCTTGAAGAAAGAATTCTTGAAAAAAAAAAAAAAGCATGTAGTCATTTTCAGACCAGTGGCTCAATCAATTATTCATCTTACCTCAAATACCTCAGCACTCATTTGAGTAGCAGAGCTCCACTGAGCGCTCAGCTGCACAGGGAGAGTCTGTCCGTCCTCAGTGAGCACCCGCACCCGGACTGTGTTCACCAACACTGTGACTGCGCAGAGTCGCTCCTGCTCAATGGGGTTGAACAGAACCAAGTATCTGGTAAAAAGTAATGACAAAGAAAAAAAAACGTTAGACAATCAAGAAGAGGAAGAAAAAAAACAGATGTGAGGGACTGAGCATCCTACCTTGGTCCTGCTGGGTCCAGCTCGATTAAGGTCTGCTGAGGCTGAGAGTCCTGAGTCGCACGTCTGTCATCCTACGGAATCAAAACATGATGCATTCAGAATATTATTAGTCTGTTTTTGTTCTGCTAATGATTTAGTAACTCAACATGTCAGTCCTCTCACCGTCTCCAGGAAGGGCTCTGTCTGGTAAAAACGATAGAACTCTTTGTTCTTCATCACTAGGAAATGAGCAGCATTGATAATAACTCTCTTCAGACCGATGAGTGCACGCAGCAATCTAGTGGGGGAGGGGGGACCATAATTCAATAAAACACTGTGGTTCCAGACTAGACAAACAAAGACCTTCCACAGCCCTCATGATCTTACTTGGTGCCATAGTCGATTACCACATTTTCCTTCGCAGTGCCAGTAATGGCATCATGATGCTGGAAGAGGCCGACCGACCGTCTTGCATCCACCAGCAGGGCGTAATCAGTCACCGGATAGCGTCCCTCCATACCAGCATGACGAGCGTTTGCAACCGCCAGACTGTACAGAATCTCTGCCCCTCTGAAAAACCACAAGATGAGTCTTTGAGGTTCAGCCATGCTAACACCATTTACAGTTTTATGGCGTCCTATTAACAGATGTCCATTAACAAGAGAGTTTTTGTTGGGTTTTAAATCCAGAGAAATGTGAGTTTAAAAGATTAAGAGGACGAAATGATCAAACACAGACTGGGATTTTGAAACGTCAACCTCTGCAAAGGGGAGAAAAGCTGCTGGCTCAAAACCAGCACACTTTCTCTCAGATACCTTCACAGCAAAGCCTTTAATTAACAGTTTACAACTTAATAGGGCGGGCCTTAAACAGAAAACTCAGTAATGATTATCTGGCAGGATGCAGGTCATAGGACAGTGTGAAATGACCATCTGGCTGGATGGAAGTCACACAACCGTGTGACTCTGCCTCATGACCTACTGGATGCAGGTCATAAAAGTTTATGACTCTTCTGAGTTTTATGTTAAAAACTCCCTATCGTACTGAAAATGGTATCAAATATGAATATTTTTTTGTATCTAGTTTTAAACTTAACAGGACAAACAACAATGATGCTGGATAGATGGAGGATCCACATTTAGGAAGGATGGACAACAGAGGTTGAGTGTCAATAAATAACTAAAAGGAACAGATAACAGACCAATGGATGGAAGAATGAATGATTAGTAAATGATGTGTTAATAAAATAAAAGTATGAAGAGATTTACATATTAATAAATAAACGGTTGGCCAGACAGAAACAACCATCATTTATAAACGGGATAAGAAATAAAATCTGAAAGCTATATTTCACAATGTTTCAAGGCTCATAGAAATCTTTTAATTACTGTTTAATAGCAGCTCAATGATGATAAACTGTCAGAAAAAAATCCCTCACCTGAGATGGGACTCAATCACACGGTCCAAGCTTTTATAAAAGGGTCTAGAGGTGAAATAACCGGTCCAGTAGTGATCCTCACGGTCTGCATAGGCAAAGAAATCCCCACTGAGCACAGGAAAGTCACTGGGTCTGGATCCCTGGGGAACTCCATAGGCTTTGTAGAGAGCATCGAAGTAATCGGAGAGAGTCCCAAATTGAGCCTGGAGGAGGCAGACAGAATGACAGCGGGGACAAAAAAAATCCTCACTCTTACAAAGCTACACAAAAGAGAAGTCTTTTGTTTTCATGTGAGGGATTCTTATAAAAGCAGGCGTGAAGTCATGACAGATTCTTTGTTCAGGCAGCGAGTTAAAGCACAGCTGTATAATTTAGTCTCTACAGAAAAACATCTCATGCTGAGCGTCTAAAAATAAATCAATAACTAAAATATGATTTGTGGGAATCTAATAGTCCTTTTCTCACCTGAACATGAAGCTCGGGCTGAGAGTTCATGTAATCGAAAAGCTTCTGGTAATTGATATACTGCTGATCCCACTCCAGGGCCTTGTCGTAGCGAAAGTCATCTCCTAGGGGGACCAGCAGCACCTTGCTGCGGTACAGTTTAGACTTTTTCCGGTATTGATCAAGAAGCAACTGTGCTCTATGAAAAAAAAAGGAGGATGATGAGAGAGAGAAAGGATAAAACACGCTTTCATGTCCTGAAAAAGAGCATTGTCTAAAAGCTGCATAATGTGGCCATGAAGCGATAAGCACACAGTGTCCACCTCCTGCAGTTTAGTCCTTCTCCCTGGCTCAAGTTCAACTTGAGTTTATTAAGGGGCTATTACAGAAAACATTCCACTGATAAATTTGCTGTGGTTGCTGCTGGAGGTGAATACAAATAGGATAGAGAAAAAAAACACAAAATACGTTCAAATAGAGAGATTAGACTCTAGCCAAACCTGGATCTTTCACATTCACAGTAAACAACTTCATCATCCAATACGTTTGTTCATAGTCAAGTCAAAGGTTTTTAAGGTTAACAAAGCATTATCCAACATACCATTTTATTATGTTCAGCCTCCCCAAATAACTTCTCACCTTTCTGCTACGTTGGCCTCTACCACAGATTTGGGAGGCACTTTCCAGGGACAGTTGATCCGACCTCCTGGTAACCTCTTGAAGTCAAACTGGCAGCAGATCTTGGGATCAGGCCCGCAGGTGTGAGGCACGTCGTAGCTATAGAAGGGCATCATGTGGCAAAACATGTCTGTACTGGATCCAGTGTCTGACAGAACAACAAAAAGACCAAATAAAAAAAAATATAAAAAATCTCTATTTGATAGGATTGAGATTCTATGTGATGCAATGATCAAAAAGGCACAAAACTAAAGTGGAAGAAAAATAATACTGGGTATAAAAATGCTTTACATGTGAAAAGCTGTAAAGTCTGGCATGCTTTTGTATATAGCCATCATTGAACACATAAAATAAAAAAATAAAATAACAAACAGAGCCATCAATTCCCTAAAGACGTCACTTAAATGGCGATGTGTGAATTGGTGTCGGCAATTAAACAGCTGCAAAGCCAAAGTCTATTAAAAACAGGCTCAGTTTCTGATGGATTAGAGGGCAACAAACATGGAAGAAGACACTTTGGTCAGATATGAGTCAGAAATATAACTCATCAGGAAACCCTTTAAAAAAATTGATATTATTGCCATCATGCTGTTGAGAGAGACAACAGACTGGTTTGTTAGAGGCTAAAAAGACTTGAGGTACACCTCCCAGCTAAACCACCAATCCAAACATACAGACACACCTTTAAATATGTCAATGTGGCCTGAGAAAAATAAAATAAAATAAAATGGGTCCGAAGTACAACCAAGTAAAAAATGTGTTGGTAATGTGACTTGGTAAAGATTAACCCAAAACAGTGCAGATATAATTGCAAAGCAAAAGTTGCTGTTTAATAAACCTTCTTAGGGAGCTAAATCCAAATAAGCACAAAACTCCTAACAATTTTAATTATAATTGTTTTAAAACATGTTAAAATATTTTTTTTCTTCCACCGCCTCAATTCTGTGTTAGACGGCCCCCATGAGATCCCCATAAAATACATTCAGCTTAAAGCTGTAATATAATCAAATCTTAAAAAGGTTCTCAGGGTATGAATGCTTTTAAAAAAGCACTTTAGATTAACTGCTAACATCTTAACAAAAGCATGTTTTCCCTTCAGCGTTACTGCATGCAAATTTATGAGCTTGGGGTTTCTAAGTGTTGTCTGGGGTTGAACATTAAAACGACTAAATGAACCCTCATAAGTACTAAAAACACATTTACTACATCTTACACTGATGATATTCCTAGTAGGAGAAAAATAGAGCACTAGGATCATTGGCAGCCATTCAATGCTTTCTCAAATGATAATAAAAACAACTATGAATTACAGTCTGTGCTTTCAAGAAAATCCACTTTTTAAAATATCACAGCAAGCGTTTGGGCTCATCCTTAAATGAGCCTGAAGATGAGCACTAAAAATCAGAGGACCTTGCTGGCACCGATCCACTCACCCCACGCCTGCCTCCACATAAACTCCAGGCTTCTGGTGGATGCAAAGTGTTTTTTAATGGAGTAGTGGACCCTTTGGATTAGCATGCTGGTCAGGTTGGCCCTCTTCAGCAGATAGGCCATGGTGGCACTGTGGCCGAAGGGGTCCACGGCCCACCCGCTTCGAGGAGTTACACCTGTAACAGCATACAGGAAAAAATATATATATTTTAGTTGCAGGCTTGGAGAAAGACGAGGAGACATTTTATAAGAAGTCACACTCCACAGCTAGACACTAAAAGCAGCAGAAATCATTTTAACGCATGAGCAAAACGCTATCAGCTGTGGAGCCGTAACTTCACTAGCACAGCAGGGAGTGCATGTACACGTACATAAAGATATATTTAATAGTTCTGCGAAACCAGAAGTTCTAAAACTCCTTTAAGATTTCAGCATCAATCGTTGACAAATAAATGGAAGCGCTTAAATGTGAAATTATTCTGTGATTGAATGTTTTACCCAGATTTCTCTCCAACCACTGATGCCCTTCAATGAGCTGATCTATCATAGCAAAGTAGTGAACGTTGGCTTCATCTGTCATCACCCAGCCTCCTGTCACAATCTCTAGCTGTCCTCCAAGGATCAGTCTGTTAAAAAGAAAGGATTAGGAGTGCGAGGTGAGAATAATCCAGCCCTAATATGAGAGAGTCTCACTGACTAGATAACAACCTATAAATAGAGCCGCTCTAATCTGCCAGCAGATACCACCCTCTGTGTAGAGCACTGAAGGCTGCAAGTGTCTGCATCAACTGGTTCTGAATTGGCAAAGCTGTGACTCACTTCCTCATGGCCTCCTGTTTGTAGACGTCTGCAGTCTCCCACCACTTGGAGAAGAAAGAAATCTCTGACCAGATGAACTTCCTGCGAGGATCCTCGGCCAGCTTCACCACCATGTTGTTTAAAATATGCTGCGTCTGGTCTGTGAAGTACTTGTCAAAAGTCTTGATCCAACCTAACAACACAGGTGGGACCAAGCAACACTCAGACAGCGTAACGCAGACTCAGAAACAACAACTCTGCTATGATTTCTGAGCCAACTGAACCAAAAGAAAAAAGAAAACACCAGTGAATGAACAAGATGTAAAAAGTGCTACAAACAAGCAAAAATAAACCTCATATTTTATTGAAAGGGGAGCTGCTCCATGCAAAGGGTTGTGTAACTTCATTGGAAAAGCAACTCTTTCCCATTTAAATACGCAATACATGCGTTTCACACTGCATATCAAATATTGTTTGGTGGAAATAAATGAAGTTCCTGATGTGAACAGACAATTTTCTTCAGCCTGTCAACCTGTCAATAACTGTCAGGTTAGAAAGCAGATGCCCCGGATGACTAAACAAGTATAATGGAAATGTCAGTCTAAAATAAAATTTTAACCAATCATTGGCTCAAAGAGCAACGCAAAGAATACCTGAATGTTATTGTTTTGCTTATTGTTAGGGCAGGGGGGTAAGCATTTAGTCACGTCAGTTTTTTATTTCGACAATAAGGAAGGATACATTATAAATTATTTATGAACCTCCAACACCACTGCCCACACAAGTAAGATCAAAAGTAACAAACCTGACTTTCTCATTCCCGGCACAGACCGGTTACTGACATTATTTATAGCAAAGCTTTCTTTCAAAACCAGTGAAATTTTTGTCACAACTGTTCTACAGTTTAAAGTCCTTTTCATGAGAAACCAGAGAAGGTAACAGAGCAGCCAGTTCTTTGAGGCCGTGTGCAGCAGACTGAAAGAATACTTGCTTTCCTCTCCTTTACTCACAAGAAAAACACATTTTTCTATTTAAAAAAATATTCCTAATTATTTTCAATCAATCCTTCAGGGATACTAAAATTTGCGTAAGTTTAATTTTGGGTTTTATAACTAGACTGACTATGAGAGATCTAGGTAACCCTAGCACGTAGGCTCATTAGTGAGTTGTTATACTTAAAAGGTATGGTGGAGGATTTTCATGAATTTTTTTTTAAACGACCTGCCCTTTCCACTTAAAAAAAAAAAAAAAAAATGCACATGCACAACCCTGTACCTGCTTCCAAGAGGGAACACTTATTTAACTTGTGCGAGAGCATGCACAAGCCCATTTCGCTTTGTGCACGCTTTGTTTAAAAGTTGCTGTTTGCATCGATCATACAAGCTTACTTTCCAAAAGAAGATCTGCAATTTTTCCACTATGTCAGACTCACATAGTGGAAATGGGGACAAGCAAGTAGGATGGCCTTACGTAAACATATCACCGGAATGATTGATAATTAGGAGGACCACTTATTTTGATGATCCACCCAGAAAAAGAACATCTTCCACTATACCTTTAATAATCTATAAAGATCTAGAAGCAGAATAAAAGACAATATTCATAACCCATTAGTGTCCTACATTATTCTGTAAATCCTTCACTTCATATTGTAAGAATCTCATATCAGACTATGCCTAGTTAACAAAGATCCCCTTAAAAAAAATACACACATCTCTTAGAAATGTCCGACATTCAACAGCACAGCTCACCTGGATCATTGTGAGAGTGAGGAACCACAAATACTTGCAGAGGTTCATTGTCCCACTCATCAGGTTCATAAGTGATATCAAAGCCCTGTTTCCACACGCCTCCATCAGGGTTGTCAAACTTGAGAAGCGAGTACACATCCAGCATCTAAAGCAAAGATAGAATTGCAAAAGTAGAATTACATTGCAATCATTTGGTGAAAGTGCCGATAAATCAAAGCAATGCTGCTTACAGTGAAACGAAAACATGTTGGAAACAACCATTTTTTGCTGCACTGTGATGTTCCTACTTTACAAAGACATCAAAATAGCAGCTGCACCTTTTGGTTTCACAAAAATAAATTCCATCCCTCATTCAATAGTGCTTCTTGCACACAGCGGTAGCTGTTTTCCAGGTAAAACTTCTCAGGAAGAGGATAAGAGTGACAGTAACAGGTTGCTTTCACAGGATGTCAAACAGCAGATGACGAGCCGGTTGGATCTAATCACCACTGGGGAAAGATGGCGCTTGTATAGTATGTTGTGTTTGGTATCAAAACATACCATGTATGATCCCAAACACTTGGCAACAACTCCATATGTACATTACACATATCCCAGCAAATAAATGCAAAATACCCACTTCAAAGCAACTACGCATGGTTAATTGATGGATATAAATATTAAATATCACAACTTCAATATTTTTATATACTGCAGCTAGAAATTGATGCTGTCCCCTTTATACACACCCTGGGTATGAATGATATATTTTCCCAGCTGAGTGGACTCTAATTTCCCTCATCTGACGCACTCCATTTAACACAAATGTAAGAAAATGTGTGTCTGGTTTAATTTTTTTTTTTTTTTTTTTTCTCCTCTTCTTGCTTAGTTTATCTCTTATACCATTGATGTGATTATTTATTTCCACTTAAATTGTATGACCTGCAAAAAAAATAAAAAATAAAAAATCTATATTTATGAGTTAAGCAGCAGAGTTGAGTAAGTAGGGCACAAGCCTGGAAAATTGATTAAATCCTTTCAGCAGTTAAGGCTGGAGAGATTTATAAGAATAAATGTCCTACAGAAGAATTTCCCTGGTTTTCATCAAGCATTCTATATTTTTTTACCATCTTATTTTGCAGAAGGGCTCATTTACCTGTACATCTGTTTGAGTACGGCTGCCAACAGCAAACTGGCAATCCTGAGGCTTCACTGCAAGAAAGGTTGGTCGACCGTCGAATGGTAGGACCCAGGAACCGTTAGCGCTTCTGAACGGCAGGTGGCCGCTGGGAGACACAGCTCCTGTGTCTGTGAGCTCCATCACAGAGTCCTTTATGTGGCTGATTATTTGGTGGTTTTCCTCCAGGAGCTGCTCCAGCTGCTCTATGCGATTCTGAAGGACTGATATTTGGCTCTAAAGGAAAACGATAAGTTAACAAAAGAGCTGCAGAAAACTAATCAAACAGTAGCAAAAGCACATAAGCCCCGTAGAATAAGCTGACGGTAGAAATAATAATCAAAAGTGAAGGCATTTATATAATACACATGTATAATATCTAAAAAATTTTACAAGCTTTTTTTCTTCTTTTTTTTTACAGGAGACATTAATCCTAAAAGATGTAGAAACGTTTCATCTAATCTAAAGATGGCAAAACATTTGCAGTTGAAAAACATAAAATAGGTGCTCCTCAATGGCTTTTGAGCAAAATATGCATGAAGCCACAGCAAAGATTCTTACCCGTGGAAAGTTTCCTCCATTCTGTCGCCTCGCAGGGTCATGCTGGACTCGGTCCAACATCAGATAGAGTGAGAACACAGCCACACAAAATATGGCCCCTCCACACACTGTCACTTGTTTCCTCAGCTTCATCCTCCTCTGAAGCGCTCTTTTTAGTCTCAGGAATTAAATAAAACAATGTCCTTGAATGGATGTGTGTCGTTTTCTGCAGCACAGTCAAAAGGTCCAAGAGTACCACAATTCAGTGCAAAAAAATAAAAAATAATGATGGAAACTAAACATGTACCGGTATGCCAGTACAGAAGCTGTGATGCCTGCAGCCTCCACTCACCGTACTGGAGATCACAGTGACAGGAGGCTGCTGCAGCAGAGGCTGTGGAGGAGCTTCTAAAGCAGCAATCACTGGCAAAAACTCTGTCAGCTCTGGCCAAGGCACAACCACCGGTGGTCTTCTTCAAAGTGGCCCTTGTGCTCAACCATCTAAACCGATGAGATTGGAGGAGACGCAAAGAAAAAAAAAAAAAAGGGGTATTCACAGTTGGGGCACAAAAAGTGAGACTAGTGTCCCTGCAGCATGATTGTTGTTGTTATTGTAGACATGCTTTCTTGGTCCTGTCCCCCCCCCACTTCCATAGCAAACTTTAATCCTCCTGCACGGTCAGAGTCAGCACCCTTTTGCTCAAACGGCTCAGTATGCCATAACAATTTGCCCACAGAGCAGTTGTGCTGCAAATAGAAAAAGAAGGAAACAATTTGGCTAAAAGTCACAGCAGCTTTTCTATAAATCAAGCTTCAGCCCCAAAGCAGCTTCAAGAATTAAAATGAAACAACTGCTATCCTTTTCTCGGTGGCATTGTGAATGGATATCGACCGGCAGCACAAGCAGCATCCGTCCTTGGATGGCAAGTTCAGAGAAAACATCACATTAGAGGGTCCTCTTCAGCTGCAGAGGGAAAGAAATAAAAAGGAATATGTACAATTTGTATATTTCAATACTTTATAGTATTATTCCAAAGTAATTTAATATTTTTTAAATCTAAACAATGCACACTAGAGTATACATTTAAATGTTTTATCTGAGGTCATTTCTGAGGTTGTGGATATCAGCTTTTCAAACATAAAATGTTGTTTCTCTGAAATTAAAATATTATTACATGGTTAAAAAAAATAAATAAATAACCCTTGTCCCCTGTGGGTTTGGCTGGTCTGGTTTCTTTCAAAACAGATAAGACCCCAGGAGATCATTGGTGTTGTCTCTGCACCAGTCCCCTTTACCCTTAAAGGCTGCACCCAACACAAGTAAGGTTCTGATGGGTGGAACAATGGACCTTTTGAGGAACCGTGCAGTGTTTTGGACCCATCCTACACCTTCATTTTTAATACATAAGACACCCTTGAGACAGGGGTGTCTAGAGTCTGTCCTGGAGGGCATTTGCCCTGCATGTCTTAGGCTACGTTCACACCGAAGGCCTTGATGCTCAATTCCGATTTTTCGTTAAATCCGTTTTTTTGGCATTGCCGTTCACATTTCCAAATATATGCGACTTGTATGTGATCTCCTGTGTGAACTGCAGTCATACAACGCAATTGTCCCGCATTTGCAGTAGAGGACGCAATGACATCACAGGCCAGCATGCTCTGCGTTTACGGAAGTAAACATGGATGGTAGTGCGGTAGTACATCTAGCGATCTTTCCCAAAGTTTAAAAACACAATCTTTTCAAGATGGTTAAACATAAATGCTTCTCTCCTTATCGTCCGCCATGGTTGTTGTTATTCTTGCCGCTTCTTCATAGCAAGACCCAGAATAGTGACCTTTGTCGGGTATTAATAGCGTTCAGATTGGATGAATGCGACCTGACGGTTCAGGTACAGGTCGCATTTGAAAAGATCAGATTCGTATCGGATTCAGGACCACATAGCCAAGTGGCCTGGGTCGCATTGGAAAAAATCGGATCTGTGTTTATCAGACAGCCATGAAAAGATCATGTACAGGTTGGATATGGGCAAATAAATTGGATTTGGGTCACTTCAGGCTGCAGTGTGAACATAGCCTTAGATGTTTCCCTGCTGTGATGCACCTGATGCAGATGACTGGAGTTCAGTAGAAGCCTGTCATCCAAACAACAAGGGAAATTCAATCTTCAGAAGGAGGGGAAAAAAATGAAAGTATGCAGAATAGCAGCCCCTTAAGAAGAGATGGAGTCTAATTGGCTGAAGGTCAGGCAAACATTAGTTATCTTTACAACAGTACCCTGTCTGCTATGATCCTGATCCCAGGTTTAGTTTAAAATAAATCCAACTGTTTTCCATTTTGAGATTTTTTTTTTTTATTTAAGAAAATCTTACCAGGCCCATGAAATTTGATTGGGTCATATACTCACTAATGCAGTTTTTTTTAGACTCAAAACGATGATAAATCGTGATTATGGACAATAGAGCAGGAGGTGAGAAAACATATGTTCATTTAAATTTATACCACCATCCCAATATTTAACATTGATTTTTTAATCATTTATTCAAACATTGTTTACATTGTTAATTAAATACTGATACATAAATGTCCAGTTTTCTTCATCGTAAGCTCAATTTATTTTTAGGGAAAACAGGAAATACATATAATTAATCCTTATACTATGAGATATTAACTTGCCACTTCTGCAGATGTATTTTTTCCTTAGACATCAGGACACAAAATGTTCTAAAGGGAAATATTTTGTTGCAAATGGCTTAATGATGACAACAAAGACCTGTAGCTTTATAAAAATATCCACCTTATCCAACTAAATCACATCCATCCTTTGAACATCAAAAAACATATAGGGGTGCACTGAGAGAAGGTCGCCTCTGTAAATGTTTTACTACTCAGCTAACCTTTGAAACAAGGAGGGTTCATTTAGACCCCAGCTCCCTCATTTGGACAATATCCGTGTCAAAACAAAGCTGCATTGGGTGTCGATGACAAACAACCTCTGAGAAACTTAATATCACTTCTATGAGGCTTAAATGTGACAGCTAAACGAGCTAGCGCTAGCTTCCAGCAACCAACGTTACACGGGCTGATAAATTAAATTCAAGAGTCCCAAAAAAAAAAATTGGTTTAAAGTTTCAAAATTGCGTTTTGATTTTGGCACACGGGTGCCTCTCCTTTTGCCAGATATGTTGGCAGCAACGGATGACATTCAGTATAAATCTGCTAACATTAAGACAATAGTAAGCTGATGATATTTTCTTGCTAACATTAAATCTTTTCTTCTATGCATTCTGGACAGAGGTTGCCGTATGGTAGCGTTTGTTCCCTTGCAGATAAAACTAAAAACAAGCCAAATCTTACCAATTAAGCTTATTCCAGGTGAGTGCAGCAGCCCAGCAGCGGCTGTGTTCCTGCTTTCCGCTGAAGGATTAGTGGAGTAGCATTTAGAGCTTAGCGGTTAGCACCGCCTAGCTGCTGCAGACACTTCCGGGATGAAATGAGTTGCGTCGCTGATTGACCAATAGGCTCAGCAGATACACCAGCTCTTTATTTCAAAGTCTGCAGTAGTAGTTCGTTTTAAATAAAATAAAATAAAATAGAATGGAATAAAATACAATACAATAAATACAATTAGGGCTGTAACTAATGATTATTCTGCAAATCGATTAATCTATCGCTTATTTATTTAATTATTAATTAATAGTCGGATAGCAAAAGGCTCCTTAAAGCAGACTTGTTTACCAAATTAAACCAGGTGAAACTAAAACTTTTCCACTTGAGTAGTTGTGGATAGAGCATACTGACAGACGAAAATAGTTTTTATCTTAAAGGCAAATTTACAACTTTTGTATAATTGCTGATAAAGGTGGGTCACTCTGTCAACTAAAGACATGTTTTACAGTCTATATACTCCACAGTTAACAATCGATAACTAAATTAGGTGATAATAATTTCAATGATCGATAATTCATGTTTTATACGATTAATTGTTTTAGGCCTAAATAGAATAGAATAGAACAGAGAAGAATAGAACAGAATAAAATAGAATAGAATAGAATAGAATAGAATAGAATAGAATANGATCGATAATTCATGTTTTATACGATTAATTGTTTTAGGCCTAAATAGAATAGAATAGAACAGAGAAGAATAGAACAGAATAAAATAGAATAGAACCGAATAGAATAGAATAGAATAGAATAGAATAGAATAGAATAGAATAGAATAGAATAGAATAGAATAGAATAGAATAGAACAGAATAGAATAGAATAAATATTTTTCTCCACAGGGCATTCAGGTTTGTCAGTACTAAAGCAAAAAAAATGAAATCAAAGGTGAACAGAAAAAATCGATAGCTTAAAGTAGACTGTACAGCAAAGTAAAACTATGCAGATTTTAGGTAAATACGTGCGAATTTAGGCACTCATACATAAAAAAAACACTTGGTGGGCAGATAAACAGTACAAATAACAACATGGATCTCAAGAAAACTATGTTGTTGTTTTTTTAAAACACATTGATCAGGTTAGTGTGCCTCCTGTTACTGATTCTCTTATGCTCATATGCTATCCTCTGCCCCGCTTTGTCGGTATGACTGCTGGAGTGAAGATTTTGATCAATCAGGGATCCGAATCATATCAACAACAGGGATATTGGGATTTTTCCTCAGATCCAGCCTTCCCTTCCTTTCATTCAGTGCAACTTCAACACCACTGAGTTATTATTGCCCACTAAATCTGTTATCCTCCCCACAGTGGTTTCAGTCACTTTTTTTCTAGCAAAACCGATTTGCCTTTTTATGAATCTTTTAAAATACTATTACCTGTTTCAGTTGAATTGTTAAGATATGAACAATTGAAATATAAAACTTGTTAGAACATTCCACTTGAAAGTATTCCTGCTGCCACCCTCTATTTTAGAGAAGAATTAGTTGTGTATTATGTCTACATCAGACCACTTGATAGGGGCGTCCACAGGGGTGTGCCATCGCCCTGCCTCTCCACCTACCTACGCCCCTGCACACTGAGTTTGTTCCTACAACAATCCAAAAACATTTGTGTTAAGTTGTTTTGCCAATTGGGGGCATTCATCTTTGCCTGCTTAACACAGACATCAGCCACTCCAGACTGCATGTGTGCGTATTTAAAGACCATAAGTGGCAAGGTTTTTTTTTCAGTTTTTGACCCCTTATGTAATAAGTAGAAGATCAGGATCCAATCCTGACTAACGTTTGCTTAAAAAAAATAAGATGCTGAATAGGATACAATACTTACAATTCTTGCAAAACGTGTCTTGGATATTTAATTGCATCCATTTTCATTTCTAACACTCTTCAGCATCTTAAACTTATTGCATTGTGTCTCATGAGACATCATGGGGCCCTGAGCCCAATGTTGGAAATTATGGGGTATACAACTCTAAATAAGGTCCCATTCCATAACTTTTAATGATGAACAAAAAACATATGCTCATCTCAGCTTGCAAATGCTTATTTTCGAGGTTGTCTGGTTATCCAGCTTCATTTCCTATCTCCTTGATAAATTTGTAGCAGAAATATATGCAACAAGATGAAAATAGCAGCAATACGTTCAATAGAGATTGTTTATACTTGCTGCCTAATAGGGAATCTGACTGTTTTTCCAGACACCTAATGCACTTCGTGAACAGACAAACTACATTATTTAAGAAAATAAATGAGCCATGGACAGCTGTTTCCAGTAGAGCATCAGATAATAGGAAATATCATGAATAAAATACCACACACAACAAGCTGTGTGATGGTGACAAGATCCACGCTGTTAAGACAAAAACAGGGATACTCATCAGTTTTTACACAATTTCTTACTACTATAAAATTGAAAAAGTGACAAAAGAAATGTTTTCTTGTAAACTGCTTTCCTTGAGATCTATATCTCATTTTAGATTCAACTCCCGCTCTGACCACTGTGCAGGTAAACAACACCTGGAATCCCTGAATGGGAAATATGATCTCTGTAGGTGATCAGTATTGTAGTGCTTCAACGGTTTCTTTGAAATTGCTCGTGTATTTTAGAGACAGAAGATGACCTTGGTCTTTAGTAATGATTCAGCAGATTCCATTGTGGACCACACTACCAGATGGCGGTGTTTTAAATCCAGTCACAAGAGACTGATTATTTTTAATGTGATGTGCAGTGATGAAGCTGTATGAGACTGTTATCAAGTTTGGCTCCAGAAAATGCACCAGTTAGAATAACATAACCTCTTTTAAAACACTGCAATTATAAAAAAAAAACTGAGTAAACTGTTGTTTACTCAGCTGCTGATGATTTCTTTCTCTCTCTCTCTCTTTTTTTTTTTTTTTTTGAAGCTCTTCTTAAATCCCTGGTGGTGTTGCTTAATACCAGAGAGCTCCTGCAGATCTTTCATTTTCTTTCAGCAAAGCCTCTAAGAAACACAAACTGACCATCCAAGCTTGGAGTCTTGTCCCGTTAACAAAGAAGCCACGGTAATATTAGAACCCAAACAGATGTAACTGAGCATACGGCCAACAGGGAATAACTCCAAGGCAACAGAGGACAAACAACAGACTGAGGGCTCTTGGGGGACTTATTTGAGAAATTCCAAACAGGACACTACCTAAGTGACTTTGAACTCTCTGTTGCTCAAACTAGTACATGTGATATAGTACTCTGTCTGTTTAGTGTAAGGATAAATAACATAGCTATAGAGACATATGATTAATAAGGTATGATGACCTTTATTTAGGATGATTAAGTAATTGAACAGGTACACGAAAATTCGACCACATCTCCCCTGTTTTAGCTTCCTTACACTGGCTGCCAGTACATCATAGGATTGATTTTAAAATTGTTTTATTTGTTTTTAAAACTCTTAATGGCCTTGCTCCTTCTTATCTGTCTGAGCTGTTGCATTCTTATACACCCTCCCGTTCCCTCAGGTCAGCTGATCAGTTGCTTCTGAGGATCCCAAAGACAAAATGCAAGCTCAGAGGAGACCGTGCTTTTTCTGTGGCAGCTCCTAAGCTGTGGAATGATCTGCCTCTGAGCATAAGACAGGCCTCTTCTCTTGCTGTTTTTAAGTCCCTTCTTAAGACTTATCTTTTTTCCTTGGCTTTTAGCACAATTTGAGAGGTTTTACTTAGTTTTATTCTTTTTGTATATTAATATGTATTTTACACTTGTTTTTTCTCTATTTTATAATTTTATTGTATTTTATGATTGTGTACAGCACTTTGGTCCTGTCCGGTGCATAAAGTGCTTCATAAATAAAGTTGGTATGGTATGGTATGGTATTGAAATGCATTAAATTCTTTTATAGAAAACCAGAATTCCATGTATTTTATTGATTCATCAAACACTGTTGTGTTGACAGCAGTGTCTGACAGAAACATTTCAACACATGAAAGTTAAGAAAGGCCCCTTCAAAATCTGAGCAGCTTCATAAGACATTGTTTATTGCTAGAGGGCGTTTCTTAAGGGTTGCCATAAACAGACTGGTCAAGGATATGGGGCAAACCCATAACCAGCTGAGGGGAATATGTATACTTTCCTTGCCCTGAAACATTGTGGAATCTCCCAGAATATGCTCTTCCACTGATGCGGGAATATGACCTTCCTAAGAACATCAGCTGTTCTTAGATTGATCACATTGCCGCATTATTGCAGAATTTTGTGAAGGGACTCCTGATAAAAAATGGGTGCAAATATTGTATAGCATAGACATTTTTCAAAAGACTGACATTTTGTTACTAAAGATTTCAATTAGTTCAAAGATTCAAATTATTAGTTTAACTAGGTTTTGGGTTTTAATAATTGTAAGACATTGAAAAAAATGAAAAACAATCTAAAACATATAACAGTAAAATAAATCTACATAATTTTATTTTTTATTTTTTGTTGAATTACTACATACACTTTTTATTTATACAAGTCATTCATCTATTTTTTTAATTTACATATTTACTATATTATACTTTTACTGGGATGTATTTTAAAATGAGAAAGATGGTAATTTTCCATAAATTATAAAGTGCATTCTGATAAGGCTTGTTTGTGTAAAGTACTTTTCGACCTCTTTAAGTGTTTATTTGTGTGCTTGGCTCTACCTTTCTCACACCAAAAAAATGTTTCTCCAAAAAATTAGGTTATCCTGAGTTATTTTCTATATTCACGCTGCTATATGTTTAGGCTGCTGGAGGACATAGGGACCACATTTCCTCATTTTGTTTAATTTGTATCTCCTTTCTCTAATTGTGGGGTATTTGTTAGTTCCATACATAACTTTGTCTTCTCTCTGCTTTTTCTTGTCATAGTAGCTTCATTTGGTCTGTTCTTGTTTAACTATGACTCCACCCTGGATTGAAATATCAGCTGGGCTGCTGCCATAAAAACCTTTGTTTATAGATGTTGTAGTTAGGCCTATTTGTTTCCTGTTTCTTTTACTTATCTGTCATCCTTTAGCATTGGAATAGGCTTGGAGCTCATCTGTCTGGCTGTCTTTCCCTGGACAAGGTCACCTGTGTAACTTATTAATAGTTACCTTTTGTATATCTGCTCATTCCTTTATGTCTCTTCTGTCTCTTTGAATCCCATTTGGCCTCAGCAGAAGGCTGTTCACACCGAGCATGTTTCTGCTGGAGGTTTCTTTCTGTTAAAGGAGACTTTTTCCTCTTCACTGCATGCGTGCCCAGTGTGAGGGATTGCTGAAGAGTTGAGGACAAAATGCAGCCAAATATAGTTGCCACAAGTTCATCCAGGGAGGACCATGTCCTGCAAGTCAATGAATAGGTGGATGAGCTGGTTTTGATAGAAAACTTTTACCAATCTGACTGTAATGTGCGTGTAAAATGCCTTGACATGACATGTATTGTGAATTAGCACTATATAAATAAACTGATTGAATTGTCTTGATCAGATACTTGTATCTTTAAATATATATTTGCTTGGTAGTGCTTATAATTAATTACCCAATGTTTTGTTTATTCGTTTGCCTCTCAGTATATGTCGTTTTTTTATTTTTATTAATTTTATTAATTCAGAAAGCATTGCTGTTTCCAACTATATAAAGCACAAAAAGCAGCTTGGTGTAACTGACTGCATGTGTGCACCAAACAAAACCACAGAATGGAAACGTAACCTAATAAAGTAGAGATGGAGACAGGAATGATTTGGCTGCCCCCTTCCTTTTATGGTAAAGAGGCGTAGGGGAATGGTGGGCGGGGCGTGTGCGTGAGCGTCACTAACGCGATACGTGCACCCGGAAGTACTGGGATATGAAAGGAGTTTGCGCCGCTCGTGATAACATGAGTGCAATTTGAATGCAAATTTCTCATATAAACCCATATCGTGTTGTGTGTATCTAGCCGAAGATGAGTGAAAGTGAAAAGCAGAAGGTAAGGAAGCAGCAATTAGCCGTTCGGCCAACTTTTATGCATTTTTTAAGCATTATGGAAGTCGTCTCCTCACCTTTCCTGTCCAAACCAGGACCCTGTAGCTCTGAAGGAGGAGGGGAACAACCTCTTTAAGGCTGGAGACATGCAGGGCGCTGTCTGCTGCTACACCAAAGCGCTGAAGCTGACTGAAAGCCAGGGAGACAGTGCTGTCCTGTACCGCAACAGATCTGCCTGCTACCTTAAACTGGAGGAGTACAGCAAAGCAGAGGATGATGCCTCCAAAGGTTCTATTCTACTCTACTCCACTCTACTCTACTCTACTCTATTTTAATTAAATGCAATAATTTCAGAAGTTGTAGATTCCAGCTGTTCAGTTATCAATAAGATAATGTAGAACATATGGTGAAATAACTAGAGACATAACAAAGGCCAAAAGAAAAATTAGAAAAACAAATAACTGTAAAAACAAACCACCCATTAATCATTGGGTCTGGTTCTGCTGGAGGTTTCTTCCTGTTAAAAGGGAGTTTTTCCTCTTCACTGTCGCTACAAGCATGCTTAGTGTGAGAGATTGCATCCGACTCAATGAGACTATGCAATCAACTGGTTTTCCTTAGACAGAAAACTTTGAATCAATTTGACTGTATGATCTGGTTGAACTATAAAGTGCCTTGAGGTGGCATGTGTTGTGAATTGGCGCTATATAAATAAAATGAATTTAATCATCTATATTGTTTACCATCGCAGCAGGTTTGGGTAGGGCCTACCATTGGGGTGAAAGGTCAAGAGATGGGGTACTTCCTGGACAGGTTGCACGTCCTTCATAGGGTAACACGCAAGAGAGAAAAATTATATACTCACTACCTGTCTGCAGTGTAGAGAGACTATTTAACCAAATGTTTATATTTTAAGGCTGCGTTAAAAGGATGAAAGGAATTAGTCGTGTGTGCAGAGAACAGAGGAATCCCAGGACATTATTCATACTAAGACCCTCTTGTTCATGGTTTTAACAACTTACAAAAAAAAAAACGGTAAATATGTGACATTGGAATAACACTCTAGTTTTGTCTAAAAAAAAAAGTCAAAAATGAATAAAACTTTAAGAACTCACGTTAAATAAAATTATATGAAAATATTATTTGTTTAATTTATTTTATTCTATTTTTCAGAAACTGTATTCCAGATCCACATTAAGTCACTTAACTCGCAGGCAGATTCAAAGAATGCAAGCATGCATTATATTTTTCGGGGTTTGTTTGTTTGTTTCATGCAATTACTGTTGTCACTGCAAGATTAATAGTTGAAGTTTAACCTGGAAGTTCTGTGACTATTATTCTGAATATGAGTTTCTTCTTATGTGCAGGATTACCAGGGTAAATACTCAAGACATCCTGGGTCTCATTTTATTATTTTCACTTTGCCTGCCAACAGTAAATTATGCAACAGAGGTGAAGAGTTAATGACGCTTTTTACGGAGTTAATATGAAAGTAGCTTTTTCTGCAGTAGGAAGACAAATACACTTTATCTAGAAAGTAACTGTTTGTTGGGCAGTTTTCAGCAGCTCCGCTGTTTTTGGAATAGGGTTGTCACGATACTAAACTTTTCAACTCGATACCGACATTAAGGGAAATATTCGATACCCGATACCATTTTCGATACCACAAGGATAAAAACTCCAAATTTCAACAGAAATATTTTGATTAATAATTATAATACAATGAATAAATACAATAAACAATAAGAACAATATTTTGAGGTTGTTTGCTGTGCACAATATTAAGCAAGCTTGATAAAAAACTTACAAAATTAAAATGAAGTGTTCCTTCCTTGGCTATGCTTTGCACACATAACAATGACACTAGCCAAACTGGTTAAGAAACACAAATTATTCTCAGCTGCTGCACCTGTTACAAAAAAAGTCTGAAACTAAAAAGTGCACAGAATTATTCAATCACACAGTGCATTGTCCTCTATTCTGCACTTTAGATGAATGACAGTTTAGGTGCCACTGGTGGTGGCACTGTATCGATACTTTTGTAAATGAGTATTGTATCCAGATACGTTTCCGTATCGATACTTTTTTGAGTATCGATACTTTTGACAACCCCATTTTGGAAGGCAATAATATTTCAAGAGTTTTGCTCTTTACTGCATGCAAATAATGAATTACATTGTTATAACTAGTTCTCACTGCTGCTGTGTAATAAAAGCAGATTTTTTCATTTCAGTAATCAGATTTAATGTTTTTTAATATCATATAGCTTTTTTAAATCGATTACATTAGTAGTTCTGGTCTGTTTTTAGTAGTTCTGGTCTGTTTTTAAAATTAAATTCTAAAGCAGCTAAAAATGAGCCACAGCTGTAGAGAACCAAAAGATCAGAAGAGCTTTTTGCATCTTCTCCCTGAGCATGCTTGTGTTCTCTCCGGATACTCCGGCTTCCTCCCACAGTTCAAACACATGACTGTTAGGTTGATTGGCTTCCCTTAATCTCTACTTGGGTGTGAGTGTGTGTGAATGGTTGTTAGTTTCTGTGTTGCCCTGCTATGGACTGGCGACCTGTCCATTGATAGATGGAGATAGGCACCAGCACCCCTCGTGACCACAGCAGGGATAAGCGTGACAGAAAACGGATGCATGGATGCATCTAAGATTTATGAAATTAAATAAATTCTTTGCACTCAAATCTGTCTTTCATTAGTCGGGATTATTTTCTGTGAAGATTTTGTTTGCTCGACATTGGTCAACCTTCTGCTTTCTTCTCTCCTCAGCTCTTGATACAGACCCAGGTGACGTAAAAGCCAGGTTTAGACGAGCTCAAGCGTATCAGAAGCTGGGTCGACTCGATCAGGCGTTCATGGATGCTCAGAGATGTGCCCAGCTGGAGCCCAAAAACCGAGCTTTCCAGGATCTGCTCAGGCAGCTTGGAGCTCAGATTCAGCACAAGGTAACGTGAAGGTAATCAGGTCACACTGACACCTGATGATACTGAAACTATAACTAATGTCTTTTCTCTTAAACCTTTAGTCGGCACAACTAAACTCCACAGATGCCCGTGTGCAGCAGATGTTCTCCGTCCTCTTGGATTCCTCTGCTAAGGATTCGGATCGACAGAAGGTACAGAGCCAGAGTAAATCTCCATCACTCCCTTTAAATATTGAAATGTTCTTGATCAATCTGTAGAAATATAAATAATCAAAATTATCTTTTTTTTTTTTTTTTTTTTAGGCCGCTCAGAATTTAGTGGTGTTGTCTCGAGACGAGGGAGGAGCCGAGCAGATCTTCCGCAATGACGGAGTAAAGCTGATCCAGAAACTTCTTCTGTCCAAGCAGGAGGATGTTGTCCTTTCAGCTCTGAGGACGTTAGTGGGTTTGTGCACAGGACATCAGTCAAGAGTGAGTGGTATCCCTATCACTTCATTTAAAGACCAAACATTTTAACTTCTTTTCTTGGCTTTTATGTATCTGTTGAACCTGTATAAAGGTTTCCCAATAGATAAACACCTTATATATCTGTTCAGCTGTGTACACCGTACTGGTAACTTCAAACAAAAAGGACACTAGCTTTGATGACATCTTTTTTTTGTTTTTATGGCTTGTCTTATACAGACAAGGGTAACCGGTGGTGCTTAACAGCAACAAATCAGACAAAATAAAAATTAATAAGGAACAGTCAAACAATTATAAAAAAAAAACGGAATGAAAGAACAAAAATAATGTCTTAATTAATAAGTATAACTAAGCAAAGTAAGAAATACTTCCAGGTAAAGATCATCTTTATTTTTTTAACAAGAAGTTGTGATGGTTGTCAAGACTTTGGGGAAAATAAATGACTGGTTGCCATTTACCTGAAGCTCTTTATATCAGTGATACTGAGGAGGGTAATCCGTGTTATTAGGTTTAGAAACCTTTTTGTTTACACATAATTTAAGGTTGGTTTGGAAAGATCCTTTTTTCCTTTGAAATAAAACCCTTATTCCCGCTGTGTTTTGTTTTAATCCATGTTATCGTTGTCTGGGGAAAATGTGTAAAAGTGTATAAAAAAATAAAAAATAAGAAACTACAAAAGAATAGAACAAATCTGTAAATATTTTTTCAGAACTTTTAATAATTTTTTTGCTCTCTAAAAAAAACCTGATTGTTGATTACATTACCAATTAAGAACAAGTTCTAAAAGCTTGTACCGGAGTCTTTCCTTGGACTTAGAGGGAATGAGACTTCACTCTACGAAGCGCTGTAACAACCTCATATATGCTGTTTTTAATTCCAGACCATGGCTATCGTGAATGAGTTGGGGATGGACCAGCTGTGTGCTGTAATGGGGTCAGGAGCCTCCAATGTTTCTCTGGCTGCCTGCCACCTGCTGCAGGTGATGTTTGAGGCTCTGACAGAGGGCATGAAAAGAGAGATTAGAGGCAAAGATGAAGCCATACTCCCTGGTGAGTAGCTGGACTTGTAATTTGCAGGAAAACACTGATCTCTTGGGTTATGCTTTTGGGGTAAATTTCTTTCTGAATTTGGCACAGAACCATCCAAGGAACTGCGTTCGATGGTACGCCACCTTCTGGAAATGATGCCAGCGGATAATGTGTCAGGGCCTGGTAGAGACAGCGCCATCAACCTCCTGGTCAAGCAAGTACCCCGCAAGTCCCTGAAGAACCCTGATAACTCCCTGACCTTATGGGTGATTGATCAGGGTATGAAACATGGCAATGCTTTATAGATGCTAAACAACTATTTTGCACATTTTCCTGTTGTATATCACTGTCTTGAGGTGCTATACAGTCTTTGGTCCTCTGTGGACATCTTGGGTTTTTGTTTATTTGGCACACTGACATGTTTGAGATCATCAAATAAAATCAAATATCAGACAAATGCAACCTGAAAAATTCTAAGATATAATATTGCAAAATGATTGTTTTATATATTAAAGGAGAAGCTGCCAAAGCCCATCCTGGTCCTTCGAGAGCCTTCTATTGATATAATAACTTGTTAATCTTCTAAAGATCCAGTTTTTGCCCGTTCCGTCTCTTTAAATGGCCAAAAACAAGCACACATTTCAGACCTAATGTTGGATATTTTGAGTTTGAACAGCACTTAGTGATCCATGTCTTTAAAGCTGCTATCTGAATATGTTTTTAACTTATTGTTGAATCACAAACTCTGACTTCAGCTGCTTTGTTATGGGCTCTTTTGAGAACTCCTGGATGAGCCATGAATATTCTGCTAGAGTCATTTTACCCAGCATGCCAACCCTGGGAAGGTCCACTGCTGATTGTTTTTATTTACTTGTGGATAATATTCTCAGTCTGCTTATTCTTTGTTGGATCACTTACACCTTAGAATCAGCTCCATTACACTTTTCAGTCTGGTAAATGTTAATAAAGTGACATTTTCTTGGATGTTCTTATTTTGGAGCAAAATTTGTGCTTTTTGAGCATTTTTAACAGTCTCCTTGTTGTCAGACCAGTTCCTCTCAGGGGATTTCTTGATTCTGTGGGTCTGGTAGTAATTAGGCTTGGCCATAGCTGGAACAATTGTACTCAGATTTCTGAAATGTAATGTAAACCAAGCTAATTAATATATATATATATATATATATATATATATATATATATAAATATATATATTGTTTATTTTTTTACAACGGTTAGATTTTCTCTGTTGATAAATAAAGCCGAATTGTTAACAAAAAAAGGAAAAGGAAACACCTTTTCAACTTACTTGGCTTATCTTTCAGTGATAAAATTTCTTTGACGATCTGAAGCCTTCAATTTTGGGGAAAAGGAAAACAAAATAAAATATATATGTAATAGAGCTGAATAGTTTTAAGAAGGAATTTTGTGTAAGACCTTGATCGCTCTTTTCTTTTATAGGGCTGAAGAAAATCCTGTGTGTGGCTGGAACTGTTGCCGAGCTGTCGGAGGGTCCGCCTCTTACAGAAAACACTCACATGAGCTGTTCTGTGTTGCTAAGCAAACTCTATGACGACCTCAAGAGTGACAAAGAGAGAGAAAACTTTCATAAACTTTGTGAAGAATTTGTCCAGTGAGCTGAAGCTTTCTAATATAGATCATGAAATTCATCATAAGACCTCCTAGAGAAATACCATTTGCTGATATTAAAATTTTTGCTTGATAGGGAACACTTCAGGCAACCTGGCCTGGATGCCAAACTGCGCGCCATTCAGACAGTTTCTGTGCTCCTTCAAGGACCGAGCGATGTGGGCAACATCACTCTGGAAATGTCAGGAATGATGGACGCAGTTATCTCTCTTTGCGCCTCAGAGGATGTGACTCACCAACAGGTAGCCGTGGAGGCTCTCATCCACGCAGCAGGCAAAGCCAAGAGAGCCTCTTTCATCACAGCCAACGGCGTGGCACTGTTGAAGGACCTCTACAAGAAGAGCGAGAACGACAGGATACGTGTGAGAGCTCTTGTGGTGAGTGTCGCCTTACTGGTAGAGAGAAATAGCTCGTCGATACAAAAGGAAAAACTCATTGTTTTTGCATGGGTTGCTCTAAAGGGTTTGTGTAAGCTTGGATCGGCAGGAGGCACGGATTTCAGCATGAAGCAGTTTGCCGAGGGATCCACGCTAAAGCTCGCCAAGCAGTGTAGGAAGTATGTTCTAAATCTAGCACCTATCATCATAACAATGGCTAAAAATTGATTTTTGGGTTTAAAATAAAAACTGAATATCCTATCTGCTCCTTTTAGATGGTTGTGTAACAAATCTCTTCCCCCAACGTCGCGTCGCTGGTCAGTGGAAGGTCTTGCATACCTGACTTTTGATGCTGATGTGAAGGAAGAGCTTGTGGAAGACAAAAGTGCTCTTCTAGCCATGTTTGACCTGGCTAAGGTTGGACTGATCTTTTTCCTGTGAAAAATACCAAACTTTTTTTATTCATTGATCTATTAACCTCACATTGATGCACCTTTTTGTACGATACTTGTTTTTGGTTTCATCCAGTCTGAAGATAAGACGGTGCTCTTTGCTGTGGGCTCCACATTAGTTAACTGTACCAACAGCTACGATGTGGAGAAGCCAGACCCCCAGCTGGTGGAGCTGGCCAAGTATGCGAAGCAGCATGTGCCTGAGGAGCATCCCAAGGTGCTGCACAACTTCTTGCAATTTGAAGGCTAATTTGTAAAACTCTAGTTTAATACAGGTATGTTGTTCTGTTAGGATGCGGCATCCTACGTGGAAAAAAGGCTGGTTAAGCTTCTGGAAGTTGGTGTTGTCTCTGCGCTGGTGTGTATGGTCAAACAGGAGAGCCCCGCCCTCACAGAGGCTTGTAGAGAATTCATCGCTAGGTACTAATAAAAAATACATATGATCTTCTTTGACCTATTTCTCTGTAGGTTTTCTCACACTCTCTGGATTTGCAGGGTTTTCTTGGCTTTGGTTGAGCGACAAGAAGACAGAGGTGCAGTGGTCGCACAAGGTGGAGGAAAGGTAAAACACAATAAGACATAAACAGTGACCCACAAAAGTAACAATAACTCTTAAACTTTGTAAGATTTGGTTTCTCTACACCTCAAATGTCAGAATATATTTTTCATGATAAATCAACACAATATTGTGCTCAATTTTTTTTTTTCTAAAATCCTGAAGTGTTCCTGCGTTTATATTCAGTTCCCCTAGTCTATACCACTAAAGCAAATACCCAGGTGTAACATTTTCTATGTGAGAATAAAGCTGTATTTATATGGCCTGTTTTAAATGACACATTAAAAATGTAGATCATGATGTCCTATCAGAGGAGACCAAAACAGAGCTGATAATGTGTAATGGATAAATCAATGTAGACGTTAGTGTAAAATTGATGGTAAATGCTTGAAGGTCCTAGAAGAAAAAAACACTTGAAATGGAGCAGTCCAGCTTTCTGTTCCGCTAAACATGCAGCTACAGCTACAATTGGGTGTTTTTTTTTTTTAAGTGCTGCAATTTAGGCTAGATTTGATTGTAAAAAAATAAAAAAAAAACTACTGACTTAAAGGCAAGAATAAAATTGAAGAATATTTTTTTATATTTTTATTTACAAAACATATATCCTGCCATATACTGTTATTCACATCATTGTGCTTCTTTTGATTATTCTATCATATTAAATCCCAATAAATAAATGAAATTTAGAGGCTGAAACATGACTAAATTAGAAAGAATTTAAGGGATGTTTTTTTTTTCATGCTAATGTATACGTGGCTTTACCTGTGCAAAGTCTTAACGCTGTGCTAGAAGGATTAACTAATGATCCCCCCCCCCTTTCAAAAGGCTTTGATCCCCCTCGCTACCGACAACACAGAAGTAGGAAAGGTCAAAGCTGCACAAGCCCTGGCAAAGATAGCCATCACCTCTAACCCAGAGATTGCCTTTCCAGGAGAGAGGGTATAAAAAATGCAAATATATTAATTTAAACAATGCAAAGATATCATCTTACCTGACATTTCTTTACATTTTGGCAGATGTATGAGGTGGTGCGACCCCTTGTGAACCTTTTGAAGCTGGAGTGCACGTTGCTGCAGAACTTTGAATCTCTCATGGCTCTCACAAACCTAGCAGGCATCAGTGAAAGACTCAGGTTGGCCACTAGGGGGAAGCATTTGACTAGGAATAAATATGCACAGACAATTGAATCACTGAAATGTATGGGACCAGTTTATACAGTTTATATTGTTCCAGATCAAATGTTTTTGGTGTTTAAAAAAAAAAAAAAAACGAACAAGGCTTTGTATATTTTTAAAGGTCTGACATAATCCTGGTTGTTTTTTTTTTGTTTTTTTTTTATTGTTTTACTGAGTGACGGAGACACATTTCTTTTGTTTTTGATCTTTACTTTTATACTCTTCTTTAAATGATCTTGTTCTTTCATATTCTTGCTTTAATGCATTTTTTAAGATTCTTCAATTTTTAAATGTCTTCCTTTACCAGGCAGAAGATCATCAAGGAAAAAGCTCTTCCAAGGATTGAAGGCTACATGTTTGAGGAGAACGAGTTGGTCCGAGCTGCTGCCACTGAGTGCATGTGTAATTTAGTTTTAAGTACAGAGGTAACCCACATATCTTTAACTCCTAAATGTATTTCTATCAAGGAATTTTTGCGTTTTCCACCACAAGCAGCAATATATGTGGATTTTGGGATAAATATTTTCTGAATAAAAATCTGAAAAATGTGGTGAAGATATACATACATTCAGCCCCTTTACTTAACATTTTAAACTCTAACTTTCCAGGCTGCTGCTATAATGTTAAAGGGTTTCTTGCTGTATCTCTACCACTTTTTCACTCGCAGACAAAAACATGATGCATGCATTCAGCCTGTCTATGTCAGTAATATAATCAGTAACTTGTTTAATGATGCAAAAAAACGTTTTTCCCAAGGTTTAGTCCTATAGAACCTAATACTAAGCTGCATATTTTCTATCTCAGCAGATGGTGACCAGCTACAGATTTTTAAAAAACACCTTAGAGCTAATTTATTTAAATTAGCAGGATATGCAAGTTTTTATGGGTTCTATAACTGAACGAAAAGCAAAATATATTTTTTTTCTAATTTCCTGCAAGTTCTGTCACTCACATTATGACATGTTTTGCTATATTTTTGCAGCTCTATTCCTACAGAGTTTTAAAACCTTTGATGTTGTCTTTTAACCCAACACTGCCTCAAACTTCTTCATGATTGTCCCCATGACCAGTCTACTGTGATGCTTGTTCTTTATGATGCTCTTAATCATTACTCTCAAACACCATCATATGTTTATACTAAGATTGAATCAAACACACACACAGTTTTCTCTATTTAGTGCTTTTTTATCTTGTGTTTACAAGTTATTGTGCTGCGTTTTATTTAGGATTCGAAAGCAGTGAAAAGAGAACAAAACCTGCACTCTATCACATCAGTGTGTAATTTTTATTTAAAGATTTTTAAACAGGTTTTATTTTCCTTCAGCTCGACAATAATACACATCATTGTGTTGGTGTATATACAGATGCACCCAAAAAGTTATTTTGAATGTTGCGGTGAAATGTGTTGGTATATTTTCATTAGCCAATGTTTATATAGTTCTTCAGAAAGGCTGAAAAATAAACAGTATGTTTTGTCCTCAGGTGCAGGAGCTCTTTCTAGCCACAGGGAGCGATCGCCTGAAGCTCCTTGTACTTTACTGTGGAGAAGAGGATGAAAGACTCCGCAAAGCTGCTGCGGGCACTCTGGCCATGCTGACTGCTGAGCAGCCGGAGGTCTGTGCTCGAATCCCTGGAACGGTAATACATTTTATTCTTACAAAAATAATGTATTTTTGCAATTATTCCCTGCTTGACTCTTATGTTTCATCTCTATAGACAACCCACTGGTTGGAGATTTTCCAGGCCCTGTTGCTCAGTGAGATATCCGACCTGCGCCACCGCGGAGTGGTTATAGTCCAGAACATGATGCAGGCGGAGAAAGGGCTGGCTGAGGCTCTTATGGAGAGTGAAGCTTTGGAGATACTCACTGTTCTTGCAAAGGGAGGAAAGGGCACACCAGATCCTTCTGCAAAGGTTGCTCAGAAGTGTTTGGATAAAGCAGTGGAGTACGGCATTGTAAGAAGCAGGGAAGATGGAACAGAAGAGAGCAAAGGAACTGAGCCCTGAAAACACAGCCACAGTGTGGCCCACCATCTAAACAAAAAACAGAGGAAGTTATATTATGTTTTATGATTTCAAAATGGAAGATTTGTGGTCACAAACTACCTTTCATTGATTTTGACACTCATGGTCTTGAAAAGTTTTTTTCACTATGACAATAGCAAGATGGCTGCACAAGTAGTATTTTTCCTCTATGGCTAATCTTTAGTATAAAAATACTTTCATCCATTCCTCCCCTTTCATCTTAAAGGAATAGTACACCCAAAACATGATTAGCCTTCATTTTCTACTCACCCCCATGCTGAACAACACTCTGGAGTACTTTTTTGATATCTCAAATGCATCTGGAGATCTGGGAGGCTTCTTGCTGTCTGCTGACATTCAAATAATGGAGGTCTATTGTGCCCGAGACAGAAAGGTCCATAAAAGTCCACAAAAAACGTGTCAATATTCCTCCATACTGCTCGTCCAATGTATTCCAAGTGTCCTGAGTGGGTAGCATCCAGAATTTACTCGAAACGAAGTCATTTAGAATGTTTTTAGAGCATAAACGTTTTTTATGGACCTTTCTGCCTCGGGCGCTGGGCACCTCCATTATTTGAATGTCAGCAGACAGCAAGAAGCCTCCCAGATCTCCAGATGCATTTGAGATATCAAAAAAGTACTCCAGAGTGTTGTTCAGCATGGGGGTGAGTAGAAAATGAAGGCTAATCATGTTTTGGGTGTACTATTCCTTTAAGCATGCATATTATAAAACACATTCCTGCTTGGGAGAAAACCAAACCAGACTAGCCCTCAGAATAAAGGTTGATTTGGACTAACTGAACACTCCAGACTCGCATAGTAAAACCACAGATTACTTAATTGGGGTCTAGCTGTTTAAATGTACCTAAAAGTTTTAATTGACTGGTTCTAAAACAAATTAAGTTTTATTTTTATTTTCAAGTTAATTTGATACTGATTTTCTCCTAAAAGAATGATTTTTTTTTTTTCTTAGACTGTTTGAAAGTTTCTTAATTTCCTTAGATTTATATTTCAGTATGTTTTATTACCCACGTAAAATATAACCTAGACTCATTCTAAATCTTGCATTTATTTTTATTTTGCACCACCTAAAATCGACACTTTGGTTTCAGTTTTAATTCACTACATTCCTGCTACGTTTGTTTGTTTTTTTATTATTATTATTATTATTTCTACTGAGAAAAGATGGAAATAAACTTTTAATGCATCTGTATGTCTGTTGCATGTTGATCGAGATTGTAGCTCCAAACACAGCTGCCACGTGGGTGGGACCGCGCATGCGCAGTACTACCAAAGGGCTTTTTCCTGTTTATTTCACTGTAGCCCTTTGAGGAAGCCGTAAGTTAACAGGTTTAATGCGCTGGTTTGGGTTTGGCTTCAATGCCTTTACTCAGACGTACGTGCAGGAGAAATCCGGTGAAGAAGACAGCTGCAGCTCTGAGCGGGAAGTTAAAGTGAGTGTTCCTGTGGAGCTGCACAGCCATGCGCTCAGAGGGAGAATCAGCGCAAGTTGGAGCCGGACAGCATCCTTGTTTTTAGATCGTAAGTGTCTAATTTTGTGCAATGCACGTTTGAACAAGAACGGCTACAATCCTGCTTATGCCTTTGAGTCCATGGGGTGTGTTTTTTTTCTCTTACCCTCCAGAGGATCAGTGTGTATACCTGGCTGGTTTCTGTGCGTCCATCTCCAGCGGGTCCTCTGGTCCTGTCACTGTGGATACAAGTGGCTGTAAAGATGCAATCATCAGTGAAACGCATCTTAGCCTTGCTTTCCCAGACAGAATTGAATCCTGGGATCTTCAGAGCAAGAATGAGGCTCCATCATGGAGAATGGAGATAAACACCCAGTCAGAGAACTCTGGTGCAGGACCTTTCAACTATTTTTAAAAACACTTGGGGAAAGAATTTAGAAAGATTAATATCCAGTAGCTGCTCACTAATATTTTATTTTTTGTCTTTTCTGAAGATCTGAAGTTGCCATTGGTACCAGGGGGGTACATATCCTCTAAAAGTCCAGTTTTCCACTCATTGTCTTCTCACCTCCAAGCCAAGAGCCTTGCACTGGGTGGAGAGCATGCTGTCCTCCTCACTGTTGCTGGAGCTGTGTATACCTGGGGTCAGGGCAGGTAGAGCTCATACAGACATGCATGGATTATGTCATCCAAACACTTAAATGCTTATGTTGTTTTATGTGTGGATATTTTCATAGCCACGGCCAGTTGGGACACGGAGGATTAGTCCCTGAGGAGGAGCCCAGGACGGTGGAGGCTCTGTGGGGAATGTCTATGAGGTCTGTGGCTGCAGGAGGTTGGCACTCTATCTGTATTGGTGGTAAGTTCAAAATAAAATAGTATCATCAAAGACCTGAGAGAGAATGAAATGATATGACAGGAGCTTTATTTCAGATGGGGGTGACCTTTATGTTTGGGGCTGGAATGAAAGTGGTCAGCTTGGACTTCCATCGCGAGGTCTGAGGAAGACCTCACAGCAGAAAACGGACCCACAAGAAGGTTTGTATGAATGTTGCTAAAGGTTTAAGACAGTTAAAGTTAATGACCATCAAACAGGTCAAACTGCCTGGATTCCTTTACTTTTTCTGAATACAAATTCAATATATTTTACATTTCACTTAAACATTTCATCCATGCAGATCTATTTACATTTTTCAGATAGGTCATTTTTTAATTATACCTTTTAAACTCTTATTTCAGTCTAGTGCAACTAAAATTTTGTGATGTGATACATAATGGAAAAAAAAAAATTTAAGTAATCATTTGACATCTGAAATGAGTGAAAGATATTGTAGTTGGTCTGAAAAAAAAATTGCAGCTATGTTGAAACAGTGTCCTCAATACCTAGATTAGCAATTTATTAATTTGTTTATATCTCATACTAAAAGTGGAAATGGAACAGTCAACCATGCTATTCAAGAGATTGTGTCTTACTATTATCAATAATTAAATTACAAACGTGTAAAATATTAAAATATAAGGAAAAACCATAGTATTGTTTGACAATTTCTTGGCAAGGGCGCCGCCATGTTCTAGCACTCCAAGCGGTGATGTCATGTGGTTGGTTCGCTTTGTAGCTTCTAGTAGAATAGATTGGAAATACCAGCTATGCTTCATATTACCGAAAAAAACTCAAGAAATGTGGTTTGATGGAAGACCAAACTGAAAGGACACTTGAGCGTCTAAATCCCATTGCTTATGCCTTTGAGCCCATTGGTTGTGTAACTTGAATCAAAGTATAAAGAAAAGAGGCATCTACGATCTTACTATTCATGCCACCCGATGATCAGCCCTACCTTGTGGCAATGCCAGGTGCAGACTGATGGCACGTCACAGGCTCCAGATAGACGTGCTATATAGATGGGCTATCGTGGGATTTCTGATACCGGTACATGAGTTAGGGACGGAGCGGGTTGGCAATGCAAACTTTTGTAGGTGCTGTTCAACGAGGACGTCTATTTGCCGTCAGGAGGCTAACCTGGATCATGTACTGCATGGTGGATTATTCCAGTGTATTCAACTGGAAGCTACAGAGTGAACCAACCCTGTGGCGTCAGCGCTTCTGCAACAAGGCGGCGACCCTTGCCAAAAAAAACTATAAAGCAATGCTAAGTTTTTTTGTAATATAATTATTGATAAACTAAGACATAATCATATAAATTAAGTTAGTTTGCTTGAAAGGTTTGTTTCTACTTTAGAGACAAATCAAGTTATAATGTTGAGAAATACTGGTGTAAATTGTTATAAACCTGTCCATGCATAGCAGCAACGTTCAATGAGCACATACTAAAACATATTCTATGATCAAAAAAATAGGTATTTAGAACTGGTTTACATGTAAACACTTTATTCTCTAACTGAAAATAAAACCAGCTATCAGACTATTTATACCAAAGAGATCAGGCGGTTGTTCGGTAAAAAGGCTACTTAAATATTAGATACCTGTTTGTTTTATTTGAAAAACATTTAATCAAACAAACGCATAATTTTGGGCAAAATCTGGTGTTGCAAAAACCTAAATAGAAAATCTACAAAAATAACATTAATGCAACAGACAAAGGCTTGTGTCAGTGCTATAGTGGCCATAATTTACATTTAAATCCTTTAATTAGATTATAATTTCATAAACTGATTATTTATGGATTAATAAATGATAGAATTAATGATACATTTATTTCATTATTACAGCCTTAGGCCAGCTCACAAATGGGCATATGCCCAATGGCCAGGCCAGCCCTGGTTTCAGCAGTGCCATTTGCTAAGGTAACCTAACTTTTTTTTATAATGGCAGGATTATCCCCTCAAAAATCCCTTTTGGATCTTGAAGCAACTGATGGAGGCTAGAGACAACTTTCAGGAAAACTGAAGATTTTTCAACAAGAAGATGCATAGAAATGCTCTAGATACCTAAAAAATGTGTGTAGCATAAAGGCAACCAACTAACCAGTGAGGACATTTAATTTTTAAAATGTTTATGGGTCAGAATTATTTATTTTAGAGAAATAAAGAGTAACAAAAACTGTACTGCAGTGGCTCTTAGGATGCTTTGCTCGCATCAAACTTACAGTAGTAAATGTGTCACTACACATAACTCTGAATTGGTCATTCCATTAAATTAAGGTGCTAATTATAAATACCACATTTATGTTTCAGGGTTTTTTTTTCAGATAACTTGTTTTCTTACTGTGTAAATAATTGTACCTGCAGTACCAATAAAGCTAAAGCCATGAAGTGATAGACAAGGTGATCCAGGGACTACTGCAAATATTTTATTCAGTCATTTTAATGCTTCTCCAATTTCTGATTTTGGAATAAGACTGTTAACACTTAAATCTAGTAGATTGGCATCTGTTTTCCTTATTAGATTACAGATAAATTACAGTTTTTTTATTCATTGCTTGTAGGGATGCTTTTTGAACCCACTGTAATAGTGATCTCCTCTAACAGTTGTGTCCTGAAATGCATTTTTAACAGAACCACCCAGCAAAGTCAGCACATGTCTGGGTGAAGAGCTACATGAAGAGGTGTTCATCTCAATTCAGGCATTCCCAGCTCTGGTAGATGTCAGTCCACCATGTGAGATCAGGACTGTCAGTTGTGGCTCCCGGCACACGGCTGCAGTGACGAGTAAGCAATCGAAATCTTTTTAAATGAATTATACTGATAATTTGATCCTTAAATATACAAATTTTTTCCCCCATTTCAGCAACAGGCTGTCTCTACACTTGGGGATGGGGTAAGTTTGCTCCAATAGACCTTCTTCTTCTAACCAGGAATGTATGATAAGCTTTCCTACTTCTTATTTCCAGGTGAATACGGCCAGCTCGGACACCAAACAACCACCAGCTTAGACGAGCCTCAGTGTGTGGAGTTTTTCAGTAGCCAGAACCTGCATGTTGTTGATGTAGTTTGTGGGCCTTGGAACACGTTTACTGCAGCTGTCAAGAAGGAAGTACACTGAAAAATGTCCCAGAATTCCCCCCGTCAGCTCTGGCAGTGAACTTTGGACTGCATGCCACAAATAAATACCTTTTATGATTACACATGTCCTGTAATATTTTTTCATAGTAACAAAAAAAAAAAAAAAAAAAAAGGTTTTAGGTAAGTTTTTTTTTAATTTGGGAAAATGCTAAAAGATGATGTTGGATGCAAAGAAGACAA